CTATTACATTCTGCCGAGGAATTTGCGACACAATTGGTCTCATTTAGCATAATTAGAGCCGCTTCTTTGATTTTTCTCTTTTTTCCATCTGTTTCTTTTAGGACTATATTTGAATCATTCCATCGAACCCTATGTTCATTATCCCATGCGTGTTTACATATTTGAGACCTATCAAATTCTCTATTTTTAATATAAGATTGATGTTCACTTATTCTATCATTTAATGGCCTTGATGTTTCACCTAAATTAAACTGATTGCATTCACAAGTTATTTTATAAATACAATTCTTTGTTCTTTCTTGTTCATTGTTAGGTTTGGTTTTAGATAAAATATATCTCAATGTGTTTGTTATTTTAAATGTTGTTGAAATGTTGAATTTAATTTCCTATCTTATTAAGGTTTTCTGATAATCCTTTTATGTATGCTATTTTTATTTTCCTTGTATTATTCCTTGTGTATGCTGTAGGATCTCGTTCTAAGTTGTTCTGTTCTATTCTGCGATTGTTGAAAATTCCTTATTTATAAACGATAAAGGACAATCATTTTTTAATAAAACAGATGTTAATTAATGTTTTTCCTCCAAGAACGAATTTTGTCAAAACAAGCAATTTTGGATTTATCGTATAAGGACTTAATGATTCCCTTTTACATGTTAATATTGTGATTTGATTTAAAATTTAAATATCTGTTGGTGTGTATTGGTTTTCTATATACCTGAGTCTCATATCCAGTATCGTTCTTAGAGATTAAAACATCCAGGCAAGGTAGTGTGTTATTATTTTCCTTTTCCATGGAAAAAGTTATTGTCTCTTCTTTATCGTTTATAAACCATAAATTAAAATAAAAAATTCTGAAATGTTCTAGCGAGCTTTTATATAACTAAAGTTAATTTTTAATAGCAAATAAACTGGGTGAAAAACCTTTAAATTTTCCACACTAATCCCCCCTTCAATCGGTGCGCATCTGTGGCTCTTCAAAGTTTATACATAGCTTAATTTTATTTAAATATCTTATAAACAGTATAATAATAAAATTTTTTAATGTTTGATGGTAATGACTTTTTTTTAATATAGGTAAACAATTTTTCCAAGCTTTTTTACAGCTGAAACAATAAACCTATAAAATGAGGAGGTTTTCGCACATATGAAAGCTGTGTTATTCTTTGAAAAGCTCCATCGTTTGCCTATTTTGCAATTTGTTTTTTTTTGTTTGGTTTGTTTTTTTTGGAATTTGTTATAACTGCGATTCTAATAATCTGATCAAAGTTAACCAAACTATATTTTGTTTGTTTTTTCAAAAGAAACAATTTTCATTTTAATAAAATTCAATATCTCTATTCGTTTTGGAGATACAATCAAATTGTTACTAACAAATTATCTGACGGGTTTTTAGCCTAGTACCGTCGAAAAATCAAATCTATACGCCAAAAAACATAAAAACAGTCAAAGTACTGGGGGGACATAAATGTGAATATTCAGCCCCCTCCTGGCTCCTAGACTATAAAGTTAATTTAAAAAAATAAATAATTACATTTACTTTTTATTGTTTATCCCAGTATTTTTTTATACTACGATTTAATATTAAAGCTTGGTAAACCAAAAAGATATTTGTTAATATACATATAAATATTTCATTTTATTTATGTTTGCCACTGAATACTACTAATATAATATGGAAATATATCTAAACAATCATATAAATTAGTATTTAAATAAACAGAAAATTAGTTATGCTGAAGATTATTTTGACGAAGTTTTTGCTAAAGATAATAGAAGTAGCGATTTTCCCAAGACTCTCTTTAATACAGGTATCTAACAATTGCTTTTGATAAATTTGCTGACAACAATATGTAATAAACACAATATGCAAAAAATTAAATTTTTTACTTTTAAAAAATATATAAACAATGTAAGATCGCTCGTTTATTTTTAATTCAAAAGGTAAAGACCAGTATATGGAACAGTGACACAATTTTACTGAAAAAGCATAGAAAATCCTTTAAAATAAGAATCTGTAAAATTTTTTATTTTTTTTTGCTAAATTATTGTAAAAATAGCTTTATTTAAAAGTCGATTTTTTGAAAATTATTAATAATTTTTCTAAAAATGTACAAAACACTTTAGGGACAATATCACATGTATTCAGCTTTAAAAACTTAAAGAAGTTTCACTTTACTGTCAAAGTTTATTCCAGAAAGCTTTTATCCACAACGTTATTATGCATAAATTAGTAGGTCTGCATGAATTCTGAAAGCATTACATTGAAAAAAAGGATCATTTTATCTAATTAAATCAATTAACGATAAAAAATCTATGTTAAATATTGTAAAATTTTATTACAATTCTCAAATCACAAAAGTACTGTAATTTTAAACTTACGTGAATTCATAAATTTAAATTTATAAAAGTTGCAATATCTCCAGTTTTAATCTACAAAATTGATGTTTTTTTTTTTAATTTGGAGTACTTATTTGCATATATTATAAAAACTTAATTAGATAATTTGTAAACTGTTGATTAAATCGAGTCAACAGATTACCTACAGATATTATACACATGATGATGATTTTTGTGGAAATTAAGATGACTAAATTTATAGAACAGTTAATTCAACACAAAGAGATGATACGACAGGAGACACCAGGAAAAATAGGCCAGTAACTGGTCCGTAATTTCGATTTCTTGTCATTTTTTCTCCAGTTCTTTCTGTTTGGCTTCCCTGATCTTTGTTTGTATATCTCATTGTAATGTTTTATACTTTCTTCCATCAGCTGCAGAATCTCTGTCATCATCCATGTCTTCTTCTTACCTTCTTCGTTCTTTATGTATTATCGTATTACGGATTTCTTTAAATTTTATATTTTTTGTTTTGCTGACTATTTCGTTTCATTATGACTGTCACTATGACTTTTCACTATGACTTTTCAAATATTCGTGGACTTTAAACAAGCTTACGATTCTGTTAGCAGAGAAGCTTTGTGGAAGACCATAGTAAAAATGTGAGTACTTGGAAAGCTGGTATGATTAGCACATGTGAGCACAGATATTGCTTTCGCACGGATCAGAATTGGCGACACCGGGCTTAGACAAGAAGATTTTTTCGACCCTCCGCTATTTAATTTTCTACTGGAAAATGCGGTAAGAAAATTTCAACCACAACTTACAAATGGATTTACCGCCAAAGATCAAAAATACAATTGGCGTTTGCAGATGACGTGGACACAATTGCACAATCCACCAGATATGCAAAAAAAGTTTTCACCCTATTCGAAAACGGAGCCAAGGAAGTTGGTCTGAAGGTCAACGAGGATAGGACCAAGTACATGGTGGTTACGAAGAACCCAAGATCAAGGATTAGACAAAACGTAACAATCAATGAATACAACTTTGAAGTCGTCAAACAATTCAAGTACTTGGTAGCGATCGAAGCATCTGAAAATAAGTATGAAAAAGACGTGGCAGCTGGGATCATTGCAGAAAACGGGGCATACTACTCAATAATGACTATACTTAAATCAAAAATATTCTCAATACCAGCAAAAATAAGAGTGTATAAGACAATCATTCGTCCCACAATAATGTATGGAAGCGAGACATGGACTCTGAACCAGAGGGAAATACAAAAACTACTGGTACTGGAAAGAAAGATACTGCGGACTATCTATGAGCCTTGCAGAGAAGAGAAAAAGACACAATGACGAACTTAAGGAGATATGGAGATGAAAACATAGTACGCTACATTAAAGCAAACCAAATAGGTTGGGCGGGTCACGTACTAAGATCGAGTGACGAAAGACTCCGGAATGCCACATTCTGGAAAAGGCCTGATGGCAGAAGGTCAGTTGGCCGCCCAAGAAAGAGATAAAAGGACGCAGTAGCCAGTGATCTACGCAAAATGGGAATACACCATTGGGAAATAGCTGCTCAGGACCGACAACAACGGAGGGCAATAGTAAACGCAACCAAGACTCATATAGGGTTATAGAGCCAAATGATGATGATGATGACTATTTCTTTTACTTCACTACATTTCAATTTTCTCATGTTATGTATTTTTACAGTTTTTCTGCGTGTTTTCTTTAACTTGGTTTTATACACGTCCACTAAAGGATTGTGGTCATATTGAATATTAGCGCCTGGATAGGTTTTAACACTGTTTAAACTATGTCGATATATTTTGTTAACAAGTGTATAGTTTATTTGGTTTCTTATAATAACGTCTTCTCTTTCGTTGTCTCTAGGTGATTTACACGTATACAAGCGTGTGTTAGGTCACGTTCAGCTGCACAGGTAGATACTCATTGTTTCTTCTCGTTAATTTCTCTATCCTAATCCATAAGGACCAATATGTTGCCCTTCTTTTCCGTTACCTATTTCAGCATTGAAATCTCCCATGACTATAAGAAGTTCATGTCTCGGTATATCTATTCTAAGGTTGCTTATTTGTTTGTAAAATTCTATTTATTGTAATTATCGTTACTGATTTTAGTTACTCCAAGTAAGGAACTCAATGAAAATGCGTATATAAAAAGTCAAAAATAATATTTTATAACTCAATTTTATTGGCTTTCTTTTGCTTAATGCGGGAAAACGAAAGCTGTGACAAATTAAACTATATTCTCTGCAGTTGTTAGTACTTTTAAAGTTCATATTGACCCATTTTAAAAAAATAAACGTTGAACAAAAATAAAACTATAAATAATAATATTTTCTTACTTCTATTCTAAAAAGTTATATTCTAGTTAAGAAAAGCGGCTGAAAACAATTTTGTTCTATTTTAAAAAAGCGAAAAAACTTAAAAATGCTCCTGAGACGATAAAAATACATTTCCTGCTACCTGTCAACTGTCAACATTTAAGTGCAAAACTTTTTACCTTCCACATATTTAGATATATTTCCTTTTATATTAAATTGTGTTAAAATACATATAGGAAAAACTCAGAACAGTCAGATCAGAACTTTCGGAAAAGGAAACTCGCAAAACGATAAGTTTTACTTACTTAGGCTCTGCTTCGGGCGGTGGAGTTTTAAGACTTTTAAAAGCCTTTAGCCATTTGTTTTTCATACTTGCCGTGGAGGCGGACGACATTTTTCGTTCGCGTGTAACAGTCTCGCCCTCCAATTTGTTCGAAAAAAGTTCTTTCTGTAATAAAAATATTTTAATTAGTGGAAACTGGGATACCAGTATTAAAAACTGACAGCTATAAAAAATTAGGAGCGAAAATGTATTTTATTTATGTTAAAGACTATTTAATTATGTATCAGACCTTTAGATTTTACAGTTAATACTTTCCCATTTAAAAAAAGTTTAGTTTAAAAGTAGCCTAATGAAATAAGCAAAATACAGTGCTTTGTAAACAGTTACCGTACCTACTGATTATCAATCATTTTAGGTTCTTAAAGAAAAAAGCGAGTGTTCTCCACGAGTTTCCTGTTGAGCGCCAAACTCTGTGAAAATGACATATATATCCGGTTTTTTAGGCGTTACGCCCGTCCGGTAGGGATCTATGGAGGAATATCACCAAGCCACAAGCCCTTATCTCTTGCCGTACTGCTCCACCATAGGCCGATCAGATCCCAGCATATCCTAGTCTAAGCCGCAGATTCATCTAGAATTTTAAACTGCTGCGTTAGACTTTTTGTTTTCCGTACACCGAGCTGGGGCTCGACCCACATCCACTGAACCATTCGACAGTGAAGCGAATGAGAGGCAGCCGCACAGCCCGCTGAGCTATCTGACCGACTTTGAAGGCCAAAGATGAAAATGACTGAAAATGACTTACAGGATTTTAATCGTCCTAGGTTGCCGATTTTTTATTTTCTTCTAATAATTTTTACCTTCCACAAGAGATCTAGTGATGAACAATCATAACGGAGTCCAGCAATGAAGGACCATAAAAGAAAAGCGAGTGTTTATCCACAAATTTCCTGTTGGATGTCAAATCCTTTTAAAAACCTGTCAAAATTGATTTACAGGATTTTAATGGTTAGAGGTTGCTAATTATTTATTTTGCCTCTTGTGGGGTGAAACTTAATACAACAATTTTCTTTACTACTTTAGATAGACAAATAAAAAGGAAACACTGGCAGAGCTTCTCAAAATAGATGGAACACTACTTCTACGGAACATATTAAGAAATATGGAGAATGATCAGCGAACACAGAAAACAGATGAATGAACTAATAAAACACATTCAGAAGAAAACATGGGTAGACTACTTTCAATTTCTATTTGCTAAAGGTGACGATAATGAACCACCAACACCAGAGGTGTTATGACAAACGAAGAAATAAATATTGGGGAGGACAAGGTAAAGAAAGCACTAAAGAAATTAAAAAATATAAAAGCACCAGTAAAGGACAGAGTTTCAAACAAACCCCTAAAGTACGGAGAATTAATCCAAAAAATAATACAACAAAACACAATTCCTTAAGAATAAAGATCAAGCATTCTAATACATCCCTTCAAAAAGGGAGACAAATTGGACCCGCAAAATGACAAAGAAATTAATTTATTAAACACAACACTAAAATTAACAACCAAAGTGATAACAAATAAACTGAATGAAAATATAACACTAGCAAAAAAACAACAATGTTTTAGGTCGGGAAGATCAAACACCGAGGATATATTTATAATGAGGTAAGTGCAAGAGAAATCATTATAATACAATAAACCGACATATCTATGTTTCGTGGACCTTAAGAAGCCCTTTGACCTGGTGAAATATATGAATAGGAATATGAAATAAATGAATATATGAATAAGTAGACAAAATAATAAAAAAAACTAAGAACTAAAAAGTATAACAAATGGGGGAAAAACAACTTTAAATCATCTGCTATGTAGACGACCCAATACTACCCTCTCAAATGTATGGTTACTACAGCAAATTTACCAAGATGTAGATTGGAGCTGGAAGATCAGATCATAGAAAAAGTGATCGAGTTTAAATATCCAGGCATCACATAATCTAGCTACAGAGACCTCGAAACTGAAGTAGAAGCTCAATGAAACAATATGGAGAAATAAAAATATCGAAAAAGAACTGAAAGGCCAAACAGTCATTAGACCAATAATGACATACGCGGTAGAAACACGACCTGAGACAGAAAGGAAAAAAAAGGATGTTAAAAACAGCAGAAATAAAAAATTGATGATAAATCACTATGGGACAGAGCTAAAAGTATAGATATACAACGTAGATGCAAAGAAAAATGAAACGCTGGCTACTTGGACTAACTGTCAAAGAACTTTCAAAGAAATAAGAAAACGAACACAGATGTCATGGAACGCATAGCATGGCCGAACCCAAAAAATTACAGTATAAGGACCACTTACTGATAAAAGAAGCAGAGGAAGACCACATACACGATGTACAGACGACGCCAACATAATCGCAGCAAGAAGCCCAAGACCGACAAGAACTGGAATAAATTAGGGCCTCTGTTCAACTTTGAACGCAGAAGGCTGAATGATGACAAAATAGTTGCCACAAGAATCTTAAGAAGTTCATTGTTGAAGATTTTAAATGCGGATACTAACAGAGTTATGCGTCTAGAGTTCTTGGTACCAACGTCATCTTCTCCTACTCCTACTCCTCTGGTATTAGCTCTGAATACTCAGAAAATTTTAATCCTTTTTAATCATCAGGAAACTTAGCTGTCAGCTTCAAATTTATTTGACATATTTCATCAGTACATTTTTCTATTTACTTCTTGGTATTCCTCCCTTTTTTGCCCTCAGGTACTTTCCAACCTATATGTTTGACTCGTTTAGTACCTTGCATTCTTCCTAGATGTTCAACCCATTCTAGTCTATATTTTTTCACTACTTTTGTTATTGTGGGGTTAGTATACAATCGGTACACTTCTACATTAGTATGTCTTCTTCGTTCTCCCTCTACTACTTTTCGACCAGACATTCTGCAAAGTATCTTTCTTTCCCATGCTTCTAATCTGTTATCTATGGTTTTGTTTAGAGTCCATATCTAAGACGAGTATAGTGTTGTGGGCCTAATTTTAATTTTGTACACTCTTCTTTTGTATTACGAGATATATCTTTGGCCTTCATTATATAACTTTGAAAATTAAGGCAATTATATCGAGCACAAGTTTAATCAAATCTTGCCCAAGTACTTTCGCTTAATATAGCATCTTCAGGAACATTTGTCAAATATGGGCTATCCAGCAAGCGTAAAATGTAATAAACATGAATGTGAACATAAAATTGTACAAACACTACACTAAAACAGGGACAAACAGTTTAAAATTAATTAAAATAGTTCTACGCTCTACATTCTTTGGCGGTAACAGGAGAGAGAATGTTCTCTCTCTCCTGTTACCGCCAAAGAATGTAGAGAAAGAAATTACAATTCGTTAGTATGAGATAAGTATTTATTCTTCACTCACTGAAGAGAATGTAAATTTCTGTTACTTTTTTCCCAATTACCTTTTAAAAAGTGAAATTCTTTTATGTCTACAAAGGTAAAAGTAGAAGGAAAAGAAATTTTAGAAGGTTGTGTAAAATAAGTCGGCAATATTCCTATGAAAACTGAGACGGTATTAAAGCAGAATATATCATTTAACCACCGCCAGGCAAAAAATCTTATTCTATGTATGTTTTTGAACCTTTCTGACTTTAAAGATTTTGTTATAACTCAAAATTTCCTTTCGTGCAATATTTGATACTTTTTGAAACACTTTCAGTACAACTTAATTAAAATTGCAAATGTTATTTATATTATTTCGAGGAAAACATAAATGTTTGAATTGAGTAAACACTCCAAAAGGCGAAAGGAACAAATAAAAAGCAAACAATAAAAGAAAGATCTTGACTTTCAGTTTATCCGATATAACATTATTTTATCACAACTCGAACTGCTGAATCGATCGGCTCTAATGGAATTTTCGAATAATTGGAACAGGCCAGTCTTTTAGAAATTGCTCAATTCTCGGAAAATACCTTTCCAAGTACGTCGCACAGTCTAGTCTAAAAGTTTTTATATGTTAAAACGCAAACGCAACTGTGACGTTTAGAATCCATTATGTAGAAAATGAAAATAGTAAATGTGTATTTAGATGTAAATAATTTGATATAGTTCATTAAAATGTTACATTTTTTAAGACTTAGAATTTAAGACATTTCTTAGAAGACGGCATTTTATTCTTTCGATATAAAGATTAAGTTTTTGGGTGGCCACTAGGGTGGAGTAAAACATAGAGATTTTTTTTTATTTTTTATTCGAAATGTAATAGCGCGGAAAAGTTGCTTACTGCATAGAGGAGAACCATATTTCTTTTAATTTTTTTTACTATTTCATCTTCAGGGTTCTATAGGATGAAACAAATAATAATAATATTTTTTTTATAATGTAATAGCGCGTTAGCTAATATATTAATGACTATTAGGCGTTTTACTAACTTTTATAGTTTCAAAAAGTCTTCTATATTTAAATAGACAAGAAAATACAAATCCTTTGTATAGAAACAAACAATATTAAGACAAACCCTTATGGGAAAGAATTAATCAAAATGGATTCAATTGCAATGAATTCAAATTTTCCATAACCACATAATTAGACTTCCCTCCATGGCTTACCCCTTACCTATCACCGATTTAACTTTAACATAGTACCCAAAAAATACCACAAATCCTAACCTTATCATTAATGCATTCAAAGAAATTATGGAGAAGTATCCAAATCACCACATAATATACACAGATGCATCAAAAACTGAAAATGGCCATGCCATAGCCTTCACAAGTAAAAGTTACAAATATGCCATTAGAATTCCACAGCACTGCAGCATTTACACCGGGGAAACCATAGCGATATTAAAAGCTATCAAAATCTTCTCTTCAATGACTGAAAATAATATTTTAATCATTACAGATTCACTCAGCGCAATTCATGAAGTTAATCAACTTTACAATAGCCATGCTATTGCACAAAATATAAGAAATAAACTTAATGCACTACACCATATAAATAAAACGGTTACATTTATCTGGATACCTTCACACATTGACATTAAAGGTAACGAGGAAGTTGATCAATTGGCATTAAAATCCATCAGAAATGAAAATGTTCCAGAAATTACTAAATATCCCCACACCAACCATAAATGACAGTCCATGAA